AACATGAACGTTTACCACACGTTCTTCTGCTTCCTCTTCATCGGTGAGTTCACTGGCTTCTTATTTCTGCTCACAGTTATTTTTCTTGATTTCTTTAGAGTCCATCAGTAAGTTTTGCACCTCATTGAACAGTTTTAACTGAGAACTCTGTTTCTGTTTTACATGTTGTTGGTTTTCTTTTTATCACTTTTTCTTCAGTTTTATCCTCCAGAATTATTCTTTTATTTTGGACCTTTGTTGAGTCTGATATCTAGTACTCACCTTCTGTACGTCCTTATTTTTTAATTGTATTTTTGTTTCATGTCGACTGTTTATTTCTGCTGCTTTGGAACAAACTCAGAAAACACAAGAAGCTGTGACCATCAGACAGACTTAATTAGAAAATTAGAAAATAATTAATTACAACACTACATTTAGAGTCACGGAAGTTAAAACACTTAGTTTAGTGCTGCTGGTTCACACCTTTTTTTTTTTCCTTGTTTGTTTTAAAAAAAAACTAAAGAGGAACAAAATTGCAGAATGACAGTAAACCAGTGACAGCAGGTGTGAATGTAAAGCAACACATTAAAACTTAACTCCACAAAGACAGAATGAAGAAGTGAAACACAGAAAATACAAAAATAAACTAAACTGGAGGTCCAGTTTCTACCTCGTACATGTGAGCTTCTACCTGCCTCCCAGAGTTTTCCTTCTGCTCTGTGCAGTTGTCATCAAGATGAACTTTACTGATCTCTAACTGGATAAATTCACACATTACAGCTGAAGACATGAACAGAAGGAGAAAAAATGACGAGTGATGGATAAACATGAAGCACAAACAAAGACAAAACTGACAAAAATAAAAATAATTAACATAATTAAGACTATATGACATCAATGTGATGGATAATTGTTCCCATAATTTAAAGACACACATGGTGTTTATCAGTGTACTTACGTAGTGAATTAAAGAGAAAAACTTTAAAATATATCTTCAACATAACTTCCAGGAATACATCATCATCAGACTGCAGCATGTTACAGGACGATCTCAGTAACTGTTGGTTGTTCATCTGTTTAACAGCACTGCAGGATGGAAACTCTGGACTGGTCAATGCAGACGGTGAAGTCTACACAGTAATGGAAGGACAAGACTTCACAGTTTACTGTCCATTTACTTCCTCTGGACGCACAAAGTTCTTCTGTAGGGAAACATGTGAAGAAGGAAACATTCTCATTGAAACAACAAAAAACAAAGATCAGAGAGGCAGATACAGCATTGAGTATGAAGAAAGATTTTTTTCATCAAGGAATACAATTCTGTATGTGAGCATCAAACAGCTGCAGAAGTCTGACTCTGGATGGTACAGATGTGCTTTGGGAAGACTTTTGCTTCCAGAATCATATCATGATTTTAAGATCGTTGTCAAAGAAGGTGAGTTCATAAGTTTCTTTCTGTTTCTTCATGTTTCTGAAGGTGTGAAGAAAGTGTTTCAGTATTTAAATGAAATATTTAGTTCATGTTTTCATCAGTTCTGCTGTAAAACCTTCAGAAACCTCCAACTG